GTTTTGTCTCTGGAATGGTAGTCTCCCTTCCTTACTCGTTTGATATTTGCGCAGTGCCAAATTTGCCAACACTGTAAACGTAAACATCAAAGTAGTGAAAGATGTCTGTTTGTACATTTGACGATGGGCGCACTCTTGACACAAAGACTGTGCAGGGCTGTTGCTAATGCTTAGACAAACTAGTGCTCATCTTCAGCAGTTCTTCCTACATCAGTGCGCCACTGACCTGGCCCAGTGCTCCACTAGCTCTCGTGCAACTCTCTCTAATATTAATTAAGGATCATTGCCAATCAATACAGCTTTCTCCTTCCCCTTCTTCGGCATTAGCATTTACCATCATCCAATGTATAATTTAGCGTTTGGTGATGGTCAAGTGATGGTGGTGGTCAACCTGTGTTTGTGTGTGTGTGTGCTTGTAGTGAACATCACTGTCAACATCAATTAGTATGTTTGGCGATAACACGCTTCCAAACGCGCCACCAACTTGGCATTTCTATTGAGTTACCACAGTTTGGCTGCATTTTGAGATGCATTCATGCAGGGAAAAGACAGACAATGCCGCAGAAAAACGCAGTTCACTCTTCTGTTCTGCTGTTGCTGCTGCTGCTGCAATTACCCAATCAATTGACCATTCAGTGTGCCTGTCTATTAATAGGTCAGTTTAAGAGTTTGAGTGCCGTGTTTTTTTGTCTTCCCCTTTCATTTTACTTCATTTCACTTGCCATTCGCCTTGACGACCACTGCCAGCCAATATTGCCTTTTGTCTTTGACCATATTGAGTTCATCGAAGAGCGGTTTTTTCCTCCATTTCAATGGGTTGGACACAGCGCCCAATGCGATTATCCGCCAGCTGATGTGCCTGTGCTTAATTAAGGTGCACACACTCACCACTGTCCGAATGGTGGTAAAGTGATTCAGCACTTGAGTCTGTGTGCAGTGCTGTGCTAAAAGAAGGAGAGTGTTCACTCTGCTCTGGGAGACTGTTGATGGCTCCTCTTGGAGCAATTTCCACCGTTTGTTCGCTGATGAGCTGCATGAGCAAACTAAAGCAGAAGCAGCATCCGCAGTAGAGCACTGTGCTCTACTCGATTCCTTATTGCATTTGCGGTGGCATTTCCAGAGGATGCTTATTAGGAAGGACGCACACACACACACACAGTTTCATTAGATGCCATTAGAGCAGAGTTGAAAGAAGATAGACTGGCATTGTGCTCCACACTTACACATTCACTGTCTCCGATATCATCCCAGCACGCATCTGTACACACAAACTACTTTTTTTCCTGCTTATCGACACTTTACACTGCTCAGTGTCGATTCGGGATTTAGTCGTTCTGTCTAAAGAGACACACACAGTCTTTGAAGTGTACTGGAGGGCAAACTGGTGTAGACTGCTACCGCATTCGAGACACGTTTCCACTTGTCGAGTGCTCTGCATTGTATTGCATTGCACTGAGTGTGCCATGTGTGCCCTGCTTGGAATCGATCTCTGTTCAGTGATTCATTTCTCTGAAATTATTAGCCATTCAGTGATTGAGGCTTTCTCAAATTGTCACGCCAACTAAGCCTACATGTTTGCCTTTTGTGTGTCCTTTTTGGGGTGTATGCGCTCTTTCATTCAGTAGGGTAATACAAGGATTTAGCTGCTTGGGAGTTCTTCAATCGATCTTTTTTCACTGTAACGATTTTCTTCAATGAGCACTGTGTTTTTGCAGTCAAGTTTGCCACTGGCAATTTCACTTTAATTCAACGCACAGAATTTGTCTGCTTTTTGTGGCCTCCTTTCACACTACAGCAGTAATCTCAGTTCTAGGGCGGATGTCGTCTTCGTCTTCATCGTAGTCACCGCGTGGCCAGAGGCATGCAAAAGGCATTTACAAAAAAAATACCTCTGACGGTCTCTGCACTATGACTTGGGCAGTGGTGCTAATGCCGAAAATGCCACACCGATTCTGATTCACAAAAAAAGAGAAAGATTCAATTAATGGTAAAGAGAGCAAGATGGGGTAATGATGATGATGACGACGCTGTGGCCAGCAAACCCACTAATGTCACTCACTTTTCCACATCATCACCGCCTTCTAATGACTGCCTTTGGTGACCACCACCATCACCACCACCATCATCACAATGAAGCACTATCACTATCACCACCACTGTGAACCACTGGGCCTGGTCTACATTGGCACGAAACACACAACACAGTCAGCAGTGAATAGTGGAGCATTCTATTCTTCTTCTTCTTCTGCTGCCGTTATTGTTTGCAATGGTGACACACCTTGATCTCTTCTTCACTCCGTCATCGCGTGTCTTTGCTGCTGTTCCATTGTCTGCCGTGGCAAACACCAATGCATTGTGTCTCTGTTTGTGTGTTTGTCCTCTTCAGTGTGTTCTAGCATATATCCTCTGCCTCTGTTTCACCTCTATCTGCTCATCTGCCAGTAACTGCTCTAATTACCGAGTTGTAGTCTTTTGCTGCCGCTTGATTTCCTGTTGACGATTTTTTTCCACAATCTCACACTCTGTCAACTTTTCCTTTTCCTTCTTCTTCTTCTTCTTGATTTTATTCCCTAGCATGCAATTAACGCATCGACACCTCTTCTAATCGTTTCACTTGGCTTTCACTTTTAAGAATAAAACATCTGAACTGATGCTCCCTTTTCCTCATTCATGGCACATTCAATCAGCTCTGTCAGCACTGTCAGCAAAAGAAAGTGAGAAATGTGCTGACAGTTTCATTCTTTGTCTGAATCGTTCATCCGTTGCCTGAAATCATTTGCACTTTTCCCAACAAGCAAGCAAAAGTTGGTGACAACATTTGCAGCCGCTAGTAATCACAGCATTTTTGCCAGTAAATTCCCTTTTAGCAAACACACAAAATGCAGTGTTTTCCTGCAGCTCCAAATGCAGTGACACTTTTGCTCCTTGCAGGTCGAATGTCAAATGGTGCAATTAACTGGAGTACAGACAGACTAATTAGCCTTTGCACGACACAAGTGCCACCAAAGTGGTGGTCCCAAATGACCGTATGGTCTTTTCCATTCTTCTTCAATTAAAAGGATGAATGTGGCTGTCAACATTGCAACACTGTAGAGATTTTTCAACAACCTTCAACTGCAGCAGCATCACCGAGCCCATTACCAGGCACAATGATTCTAATTGGGCAATTGTAGCAGCTGGCAAAAAAACTTCAGTTACAGTTGGCCGTGCCATTGACATTGCCGTACTTCAGCAGTAATGAGCACCATTTACGACCGCAAGCACACAACCACCACCACCACCAAGAAGNAAGTTGGTGACAACATTTGCAGCAGCTAGCAATCACAGCATTTTTGCCAGTAAATTCCCTTTTAACAAACACACAAAATGCAGTGTTTTCATGCCGCTTCGAATGCAATGACACTTTTGTTCCTCGCAGGTCGAATGTCAAATGGTGCAATTAACTGGAGTAGAAACAGACTAATTAGCCTTTGCACGACACAAGTGCCACCAAAGTGGTGGTCCCAAATGACCGTATGGTCTTTTCCATTCTTCTTCAATTAAAAGGATGAATGTGGCTGTCAACATTGCAACACTGTAGAGATTTTTCAACAACCTTCAACTGCAGCAGCATCACCGAGCCCATTACCAGGCACAATGATTCTAATTGGGCAATTGTAGCAGCTGGCAAAAAAACTTCAGTTACAGTTGGCCGTGCCATTGACATTGCCGTACTTCAGCAGTAATGAGCACCATTTACGACCGCAAGCACACAACCACCACCACCACCAAGAAGAATCACTAATTAGAATTAGCGGCCAAGACAAATAGACAACATTAGATATCTGAGCCCTGTTTGAACTGGTTGCAATCCTCACCCTGCTCATATATTCTGTGCATCCCTGTCACCAAACGATTATGCAAATGGATCTCAAATTGGTGCCCATTATGTGTGGTGCGGTGATAAACACAATTGATTCGTCACGAAGGTTACAGCTGTGCTTCAAAAATTTGGTTTGCAAATCGGAAATTAAAAGGTGGTGGGGGGTTGCGTGAAACTAAAACACGGAAGACAAAAGCTTGTCTAGCTTGAATATTTTTATCAAACAAAAATTTTTTTGGAAGTTCTAAAAAAGATGTTCGAACTTGATGATTCGACTTGCAGTGTTGCAACACGCTGCATTTAATACCAGTTTTGAAACAAATAATGCTCTTCATTTACGTTTTTGACCTATGATCGCTTTTCTTTACCATCTGATCCACAATCTGCCATCTGATCTCAGAGAGAATGCAGCCTACAACTGAGCAGCTGGCGGAGAACAGTGCTGCAGCCCTGCAGCATCCGAGTGAATATCTCGGCAAGATTGTAAGTAATCCAAGTGGTTTTTTACGCTTTTGAGTTAATCTTGACGCCTTTTTTCCCTCCGCCAGATTGAAAGTTTCCTTCGAGCCGACAAGCATCGTCGCAAGCTAGTGAAGCTGTGTCCGCAACGTCAAGTGGGCCTCTTTGAGCGATTCTTTCCCAACCAAGAGACGGAACAGTTCGCCTACGTCGGCTCTGGTTCGTATGCACACGTGTACCGAAGCAGCAGCAGCATCAGCAGCAGCACAACTGCTGCCACTGAGAGTGAAGAAGAGAAAGAGAACAGCAGCACAAAACCGAGCACCACCAGCAGCAGCCAGTCAAAGAAGATCAGCTCACAGTTCAGCGGTGCCGTCGTCCCTGCGGGCACCACCATTCTCAAGCTGGTGGACGTCTACTCGGAAACGGTGCTGAAGAACTTCAACGGCACCAGCAACCGCTCGGGCGTGTCCACCTACAAGGACGCCTACAATGAGTTCAAGGTGTCGACGTACCTCTCGTACCTGAACGCCGGCATGGACACCGGCGGCAAGTGCGGCTACCTGNGACGGTGCTGAAGAACTTCAACGGCACCAGCAACCGCTCGGGCGTGTCCACCTACAAGGACGCCTACAATGAGTTCAAGGTGTCGACCTATCTCTCGTACCTGAACGCCGGCATGGACACCGGCGGCAAGTGCGGCTACCTGATGTGCGGCACCTTTCCGCAGGTGCACCAGGTGTACCTGGCCACCAACTCCGTGCCCGACTACTTCGTCAACGCGGAGAAGGTGGAGCAGCTGGACTACGGCAAGATCTTCCCGAAGACGGGCGAGGAGGAGGAGGAGGACTCCTCGACGCGCCACTGCCGCAGCCGTCCTTCAGTGCGCGACCTGCTCACCACCAAGCCCGAGGTGGCGATCATGAAGATGGAGGACTGCGGCCTGCCCATGGCCGACATAGTGGGCAAGCTGAAGCCGTTGGAGGTGCTCTCCCTGGTGAAGCAGATTCTCATCGGCTTCATGGTCGCCGAGAAGGCCTTTGAGTTCGAGCACCGAGACCTCCACATGGGCAACATTATGGTGAAGCACACGGAGAAGGACACGCTCAAGTACATGTACGTCGACAAGAACATCTACCTGCCGTCGTACAATTTACAGGTGAAGATTATTGACACTACCTTTTCTCGACTTAAGTTTAGTAAGTTGATCATAGCTTCTTTATGAACTATTATTCACTAAACTGGCCATTTTCTTTTGCAGAGCGCAAAGTGTACTACCGAAATCTGTCTCACCTCTTCAACGAGGGGGAGATTGACGTCGAGAAGAACAAGAAGAATCCGCTGTCGCACCAGAACCAGACGTACCGCGCCATGGCCTCGGTGATTCAGCACGACTGGCCCAGCTCCTATCCGCGCTCCAATCTGCTCTGGTGCATCTACATCATCAAGAAGTTCCTGCACAGTAGAGCGATTCGCAAGGACAAGCAGAAGTACGCCAGCTCGGTGCGCAAGCTGCTGAGCGCCTACGTCAGCATTCTGGTGAACATGCAGACGATGCACGAGTTCTTCAGCTTCATCTACCAGAAGCCGGAGCTGAATCGATATGTGCCCATCAAAATGGAGGCCATTCAGTTTAACGGGTGAAGGAGAAGTGAGAGGGGGCATTTACTTTTGATCTTTTCCTGCAGTGAAGTTGGTTCTGACCAGAGGAACAAGCGAGTTTTAATGTTTTTTTTAAATTACACACACGCACACATTAAACTGTTTCACNGGGAGAGGGAGAGGGGGCATTTACTTTTGATCTTTTCTTGCAGTGAAGTTGGTTCTGACCAGAGGAACAAGCGAGTTTTAATGTTTTTTTTAAATTACACACACGCACACATTAAACTGTTTCACAAATTATAATTTCAATCAAATGATTTTCAAAAAAATGTAGTTAATCAGCGCCGGTGGCGTCACCCATTGGCAGTGTGGGGAAGGAGAGCGTTGTTTACGTGCCATTTTGTTTTCACTCTCGCTCATGCGACGGTCGCATGCGCCTCACAGACACACACACACAGTCACACACAGTCAGGTTGTGGGCACATTTCTCCGCAACATTCTTTGTGTCTGCTACGTTTTCATACGCCAAACTGCTGTTAGCGCTGATTGCGATTGCATCTTCTCATTATGATCGACCCTCGTTTGCCATCTGACCAAGGTGAGTAGTCCAGAGAGTGAGATAGTGTCGGTCTGTTGAATTGCGCCCCCCTTGCTAAACGAGTTACACTTACACGTGCAAGATGTTTTCGATCAACACCGGGAAAAATGTGACCAACATGCCACCTAGCCGCTATGAAGTAGAAAGCAAGTACAGGTAGGCAGTTACCGGTCATTTTCTTGTTTTTGCCCGCTTTATTCATTACTTATTTTACTAGGAAAATTCTTGAACTATCGAGTAAACTGGGGACACTTTGCAATCAGGCAAAGTCATTGCAACAGCTGTACTCGAGCAATGCGCTTAACTTGCGACATCGTTTGTGTGATGAAATTAAAGTTATTTTCCGCTATGCGCCCATCGAATATGGGCATCGCTGTGAGGAGATTCTGTGGAAGCGAAATTACTACGATTACGTCAAGTTTTGCAAAAAGTTCCGCAAAGACATGAGCTCCAACGATCTGGATATCTTTCGGATGCACATCACTTCAGGAATCGGCCATTACCAGAGTCTCTTTTTCTCCTTCTGCAAGGCATTCAAACTGACAAATCTTGAAGAGTTTCTTTCATATCTACCCTTTCAACCAAATTTCATTGTCAAAGAGAATATCCACTACAACTTGACTGGCCTGAACAATGGAAAGTGCGCCAAGAGTGCCTTTGAGAACGAGTCGAACGTGGACGAGTACAACTACATCGGGGACATTGACAATGACGAAGATGGCCTGACAATCGAGCTCGATCTTGAATATGTTCAAGATGAAAAGTACCTGCCGTCCCTCAACTATCTTGCTCACAGATTCTGCATCTGCCTCGGTGATCTGGCTCGCTACTATATCGACTTTTTCCCGAATCCTGAAAATTCCAAATCGTTTACCGAGAATCGTTTCTCTCACTACTACTTCAACGTTGCAGCTTTCTACTACAAAACTGCTTCCATCATTGAGCCTGCTCTTGGAATGCCATTTAACCAGCTCGGCACCCTGTACACCGGCGGTCACTATGGATTGGATTCACTCTTTTACTACATTCGATGGTAAGTGTTGCTGTTCACGCTATGTAAGCCGTTTATTTACCCATTTTGTTTACACTAGTCTAAACTCAAAAGAGACTTTTACCGGCGTCAAGGAAAATATGCGGACCACTTTTGAAACTGCTCAAAAGATGCTCTTGAAGTGTCAGAGTAGTAACGCCAAAGGCAAACTGTTCAACAACCAAAAGCAAAAGCAGGCGAGTGAGAATGTTCAACCGTCAAACCAGCTGATCAAAGAAGCTATCCTTAATGTGATCAAATTGTTTTGGGAAGTTTTCAATGTCGGCTGTGAAGCGGGCAATATTGGAAATCGTCCACTTTCTGTTGGAAAATTGCTCAATATGACCAATGAAACTCTTGTGAAGATTTCCTTGGCACTGGAAGCAGAGCCTTCGCCTAATTCCTCTCGAACAAGTCCAGGTTCGCTTACCGACGAGTGCATCTTTCAAATCATTTCCCTCTTTGCCATGCAAATTGAGCTGATAAAAAGTCCCAATCAGGAGGGTCCACTTGAAGTCAAGTTTGCAAGCGTCAGCCACCTCAATGCTGAGGACGTGATCACAGACGGCCCACTGAAAGTCAACTTTCTTCACTTTATTGCGTACCGTTTTCTGTTTCAGTTTTTCAACTTGCTCATCAAGCATGAAATCTTACGCAAATGGCTTGCTACCATTCCCGCTTACGCTGCCACGAGCAACAGCAACAACAACAACAACAGCCACAAGTCAAAGGACTTCAGTGGTGGTGTTGAACAGCTTAAAAATGGAAAACCGAAGCTGAAAAAGCCTGTCCTGGCCACCTCGTTTTCCTCTGAGTTTAATGACAACACTGAAGACAGTGCCATGTTGAACCAGCTCAAGTCAACTGCCTTGAAATCCATTGTGTCCCT